TGACCTGAGCATTAGTCATAATGACATGACGACGAATTCTACACCCCAAGCTTATATTCCACAATGAATATCATTTACGAATTTCAATGAATATCAGCTCACACCAATTTACACTTGTTAGAGGGGTACACAAAGTACGTGATCTAGACTACCAGTTGTCGGACTTTCGTTTTTGTGGAAACCTCGGTGGCTGAGTGGATTAGATCGCTGACTTTGTGTGCTGGCGATTAGGTGCCGCACTCTGGCAGTGTGGGTTCGAATCCCGGGCGGGACTCAACCCAAAAAGTACGAGAATCTGTACTTTACAAAGAAAGTGTTATCCCACTTGACCTATGACCACTTTCAAAATGTCATTGTGTGTTCATAGTTCACTTGTCAGTTAAAACCTAGTTGATATTGAATTTAGTTCACTTGTCAGTTGAGGAGGATGAACTCTTTACTCTGTGCATGTTCCGTAATGGGGAAACAATGAGTCTGTTAATTCTGCTTCCTGAATCAACAGCTTCAATTGATTTCTCCGACCTAAACCACGTTATGGTTGATATAGAATTTCTCTAAAAAATTTCATAATGATCTATAGTTGCGTCATCTTAAATTGCACAAAATGCACGTTTGGCATGGCTCAGAACCAGAAACAACAACAGCGTAACCTTATTACAATGGATTACTGGTTTAAGTACAACCATGGAGAAGGCTGTGGTTGGGAGGCTGGTGCCACAAGGTTCACATTAAGAACGCCATGTTGTCTTACTGGTCTTTCAACATCCAATCCAAAAGTCACAAAATTTAATAACATAGTCAATACAATCGTTCAATATATCAATAGCAGATTTGAGCTTGAGATAATATCTCATCAAAATTGTCAATGCGAGAGAATAACCGACATAGATGTTCTGCCGAAACAGATTCCTCTTGACGTAAAGGGCAAAAAGCTGTGGAAATTATATGAATGGACCACTGAAAGTCAGTGATGCCACCAGGCGGAGATAACAGATTATACCAGATAACATGTGACGGCGGAGACATAGGGGCGTCATGGAACATTCAACTTGCAGAGATATATTCAAAATAACAGATCATTACCGAAATGCAAAGAAATATACAGTGATAGTAATGGATGGGTAGAAATGTTGGCGGTGTGTTGTAAGGATGTGTAATAAAAAAACGTTACGTTTGAGATGACTTGATCAACAGTAGGCCATGCCCCCACGATTTGCCAAACATTTGTCCATACGGTGTGGCATGGTCTGCATCAACCTCCCAATGACAGTATGAGGGAGTCCTGACCACTCCTCTTGCAGCGCCTGGCCCAGTGTCGGCTAACGTAGCTGTGGCCTTCGACGTCGGAGTTCACGTCTCCCGATCATGTCCCAGACATGCTCCATGGGGCTAAGGTCAGGACTCATGGCCATTGGTATGTTAACTTTCAGTTTTTCGTAGGGATGAACCTCTGATAAATACTATATTAACATCATTGATGATTTCTTGTGTATTGTGTGTACCATGTGTCTGCAAGGTTGCCTAGCCTATATTCCCTGCCTATGATACACTGAAACAATATTTTGATAAAACAAAAACTCATGTCATCCTGTGAGAGTACAAATACCTTCAAAGTTCATCATTGATGATTTCTTGTGTATTGTGTGCACCATGTGTCTGCAAGGTTGCCTGGCCTATATTCCCTGCCTATGATACACTGAAACAATATTTTGATAAAACAAAAACTCCTGTCATCCCGTGAGAGTACAAATGCCTTAAATAATCCATGTTTACATTTACATCGATATTGCAACAGGTACACCATCATCAACCAGAATATAATCTTACTATTGTTTGTATCAACTGACGAATCATGTGATGTGACAAAGTGATACTGGTATATAACATATATAACTGACATGCAAGAAGTCTCACAGATGATAGGCCACAGCTAATCACTGAGGATTTGAAATCACATGTTGAAAATATAGCATCTTCATCAAAAGCAGAACAATGAATCGCCGATTTGCCGCAATATTGGTTCACACGATAGTACTCGATAATTCATACCGTTCGGTTTTCAACATGGGGCTTATCGGCAACATATATTTTGCGTTACAGGTCCTTGTGTTCTTTGAATTCCTCCCAGCGCTATTCCTAATATGGAGACCGCCTCTGTGGTCTAGTGGTAGAGCGTCTGTGCGGATAGCGGAAGGTCGGGGATTCGATCCCCGGCCGCGACATACCAAAGGACGATAAGATTGTGTGTTTGTTGTTGAATGCCGCACGCAGCAATATTCCAGCTATACGACGGCGGTCTGTAAATAATCGAGTCTGAACCAGACAATCCAGTGATTGACATCATGAGCATCCATCTACGCAATTGGGACTCGATGACATGCATCAACCAAGTCAGCGAGCCTGACCACCCGATCCCGTTAGTCGCCTTTTACAACAAGCAAAGTCGCCTTTTACGGCAAGTATGGCTTGCTGAAGATCTATTCTACCCCGGATCTTCATGGGTCAAGATCACATCTTCACTGGCGCTTGGCATTAAGCGGCTGAAACAAGGACTGCTTGGCTCGGAATCAGTATACTGTGTCTGAGTGAATTATTCATGTTAAACTGCGACACGGTATCTCAGTGGGCTTCAGCAACCCAAGCGTGTCGTGAAAGGTGACTAGCTCTTGGTTAATGCATGTCATCGCATCCCAAAAGATCGATGCTCTTGATTTCTAACGCCACACTCAGCAATATTCCAGCTATACTAGCGGGGAAAAAGAAACTGTGCTTCACACAAAGTTGTGTAAAAGTTTCGTTATTGAAAATAACACAATATTTAGTCATTCTGATCATACAATCTTTGGTAAATAATAATATATGACGACGTATGTACGATACGCCCAAAAATATCGTTAGGACTGTTGCGGATATGACCTTCAATGGTGTTATGTTTGTAATGACTATAGTTCTGTTTGGAATACTGATTGAAAATAGTGACATAATATCGGAATCTGTTTGATCAAAGTTGGGATAACAGAATACCATGCCACATGGTTAGACCAAGATACACAAAACACCTCGGTGCATCCCCTTGTCAGACAAAGACAGTGTACGAATAGGACACTGCATATTAACGACTTTCCGATTATGACATGCAGTCTGTGTTCAATTACATATATGTGTCGTTCTGGTGGAAATTGGTATAAATACACTGGGTGAATATTTGCATTGCTTCGATCCACCAATGTTCATAGTACCCATTCTATGCCTCTCCCATATGGACCAATGAGATTCCACCTCTCGTATCACATGCATTTGCTTCAATCAAAATGGTGGCGCCCAGTCAAGAGGATCTGATCGACCATCAAGATCTATTTTGTGTTGAAACGGATCTTACTTCGCGAAGTACATCATATCACGCGAGCACCTTGATTAATAACATGAAAAGATTTGGAAAATATCTGTTGACAAAGATTTGGCGATGCACATGTTTTGGCAATCCTGCAATCGACCGAAATCTTCATGACAGTTTACGAACCGGATTGCGATTTCGGTGCGCGATTTTGATTGCACTGTGCATAGTCTCGTCAGTCCAGCCAAAATATAACTCCATAATCCCAGCCTAGTTCGGCAAGGGTGGAAACTGGACTTTTACAGTCAGTAAACTCTCTTGCCTCGGGAAGATGGGAGCTGGGAGACTGGTCTATATAGACTCCCTGGTTGGAACTAGCATGTTAAGTTTCCAGCTTCATTGGTCCAGTGCTTTCTGAGGAGATGAAGTTTACATACTTTCCCCTTTCACATACACCTGGTGTTATCACTGACTTTCAATGATCTGTCCATATAATTTTCAGAGCTACTTTGCTTTTTGCGGCCAATGGAATCTGTTTCGGCCGAAAATCCAGACTGATTATTCTCCTAGGTTGACTATGTTTACAGAGCCAAAATGTATTTTGAAAGAATTTAAGAGAACGGTCAACATGGCCAAGTCAAAAAGGGTTAAAAAACGTACATATTGCAAAAAAAACAGAATATATTGTAGAGTCACACAAGGTTGATGTGAGGTATGAAGTACCAAGCAACTGTGCTGAGGTGAGGTGAGGTGAAATTGAGTTTAACGTCGCGTCCAAGATTATTGCACTTATATAGCGACGTGCATGCACGTGTATGTGTGTGTGTGGCTGCTTGTACTAGTCCGGACTGATGCCGATTTATAGTGCTAGCTCACTGAGATACCATGCCGCAGTTTAACATGAATACCCCACTCAGACACAGTATACTGACTCCGAGCCGACCAGTCCTTGTTTTAGCCCCTTAATGCCGAGCGCCAGACAGGGTAACAACAAGTACAATCTTTTAACGTCTTTTTGTATGACGCGGCCCGGGATCGAACCCTGGACCTTCCGCTCTCCGGGCGGACGCTCTACCACAAGACCACGGAGGCGGTCCAACTGTGCTGAGCATCTGAGTGGGAGTTGCGATGGCTGCCGTCCATTTTGAGCAAACAGTGAGTGAGTGAGTTGGGTTTAACGCCGCTTTTAACAGTATTCCAGTTATATCGCGGCGTGTCAGCTTAATGTGGGAGGAAAGCCCGAAGTGATGCAGGTCTTAGACGTTTACCACTTCGGTGAAACCCACGAGCACGGGTATGGTGCTGACAAACCTAGAAACATAATTTGGGCGAACGGGATTCGAACCGACAATCATAGGTTTCTGGCGTGCCCAAGGGACACAACTCTGCACAGCGAATCGCGGCGCCTTAGACGACTGGGCCACCCATGCCCCCTTTTGAGCAAACACATTACAGGGCTTGATTATCAGGCCTTGTTTCCAAACAGCAAATTCACCTTGTGACACTGGTTGCGGATGTGTTTTGTGAGTGTAAGGTGTTGTACAAGAATGAATAAGGTATATTTCAGACGACGCACATGCTGATAAATAACTTATCCTGGTAATCAGATATTTCTTATACTCTGTGCTCTCAATATGCTAGACAACACAAACACAAACATAATTGCTTAGAATGCAAAAAAGTATTTAATGCCATTTTTCAACAGATATTTTACCCACTCTAACTTAGGAATGTTATTAGTCAAAGCACAATGATTCACAAAGTTTCGTGCCCGGAAATCTACCCATCACAAAGTAAACACACCTTGTTATACACCATTTCTCCACACAAAATGTCTTTTTGTTCAATTCTTACACATGGTTTCAAAACCTTTTTTCAATCTGCTTGGTTGATGGATGTTCTCAACTTTAGACCATGAAAACCCTTATACATGAAGATTGATCCTCTATCAGTGTACTGAAGGCAATATACCAATATTTTTCATGCAAAGTTAACACAACCCTCCCATACAAAGATGATATAGCAAGATATATTTAAAGATAAAAAAAATATTCCTGATCCTTGGACAAAACAATCTATATTAAAATGCTCTAATTTCTAATCATGTTTTTTTTAACTCTAACCCCCTGATATAATGTTTCTCACCACAGTACACTTAAGCAAGACCTTTTTTTAAACTTTGGTTTAAGAATCTGCTGACTACAAATAATTGAAACGAAAGAAAGGGGTATTTTAATATTACAACAACCAGAAATAAGTAAAATGTCTAAAAAACAAATTTACTTATTGTCACTATCAACATAAATAAATTATTTTAATAACTGAATGAAAATGTGTTGAATTTATCTTAAAAACTATTAAAATCAGATTATGATCAATCGTGAAAGTAAATAAACAGAAGATATTATAAATCAATTTTTTACATTTGTATTTTTTTTAACTACCAACCTGAATGTATTAGCCCAAATTCTGTTTAAAAAGTCAGTCCCCGCATCTGGGATCAACCCTCTCCTCTGGTAATATATTCATATCCTGATGCATTAGTGCATCTTGCCTATCTAATGTACATTATACATGCAAACACCATTCACAATATATTATTCCCCGATGAAGATCAATATTAACTTAACAAGCAATGACCAATGATATACTTAGGCGTCCACACTAAACCTAACATGTTAAGACAAATTCCATAATACATTACCGGTATATATGCAATATTTGTTTCCATCCTTTACCCAATTACAGTGCTGGTGTTACAGCATTGAAGAAAAAACAACAGACAGCAAAAACATGACTGAAAACTGAATGCCTAAATTTGAAGAAATCTCTGAGGAAATTTCATAATATTAATCACTGATTAAGCTGATGTATTTACATTGTGTTGTTGTTGTTGTTTCCAGAGTGAGTGAGTGAGATGGCTTTGAACAGTATTCCAGTTATATCACAAAGTGCTGGCTTGATCAAAGTCAGAGCATGAACAAAGCGAAGAGAACTTAGCAAGGCTAATGGCGGCAACACAGACAAATGTGCCATCAGTCCCCTAGTATTTAAATAAGATTTGTTGGTTTGTTTGTTTGTTGTTTAATGCCACAATCAGCAATATTCCAGCTATATGACTGTGGTCTGTACATAATCAAATATGGACAAGACAATCCAGTGAATGACATCATGAGCATCGATCTACGCTATTGGGATACGATGACATGTATCAACCAAGTCATCGAGTCTGACCACCCGATCCCATTAGTCGTCTCATACAACAAGGATGAAGACCAATTCTAACTCCTAACTCTAATGAGAAAGCTCATTATTGCTCATCATGACAAATAATACTTACTGCATGCAGACATAATACTTTACAATGCTTTACAGCAGATATTATTTTCAAATTATCAACACAAACAAATCAAACAGATGACGCATGAAAAGAAATGTAATATACAAGGCTTTACATACATACACATATTTATGTATTTTACATTCATGTCATAATCATGTAAACAAGTTCCCTTCAACTAACTATTCAACCCACAAATGTTGCCACGTTGCACATATTTACAAGATTCCAAAGGAATGTCAACTTGGCACTTATCCTCCCAAAATCACAATCTGTGCAGGTATTGATCTGGGATTGCAAACTGCTCTTGGCAGGCATATTGAGAAGAATTATTATGTCGTGCAAACTTGAGATTTTTTTCAAAAATTGCCTTCAACATGTTGATACAATAATGCCTTTCCCTCTTCATTGGTCCTGTGAATGAAATAGAAGTCCTCTTCTAAAGCCATAATCATGACAATATTAGTTATAACTATATTATGAATTCAGAAATTATATATTCCTATTTGGGAATCATTACTGACATTTTGCAGTCTTGGAACTGAATATTAGCCTCTGAATAGGTCTAGATAAATCTCTGCTGTGAAAAAGCTTGGCTAAACTTCTTACATATTTAGAACATATTCCATCATATGCAGGAAATAATACAGATCACAATTGACACATCTATTATCAGCTGATCCAAAGACGAATATAGATCTATATACGTCTTTGGCTGATCAAATTCTGCAACCAAACATTCAGATGTGCCAAACATGTGAAAAAACCTTCTGTCTGTCATAGGTCGTTCAATACTATAGTCTGGAAGGTAATTTAAGGTACCGACCTTTACTACAATATCTGAAAAACTATCGGACCTACTCCAGTCAAAGTTGGTATGAGATTATCTGTCACAGGGCCATATGACACAGTTGAACCAATCAACTCAACTTGAAAGGGTGCACGGGAATCACTCACGTTGAGACGCCCAACGCTAACACCATATTCGTGCGTGCGTGATTCCAGTGCAACCTTACGAGTTGAGTTGCTTGGTTCAACTGTGTCATATAGCCCTGTAACAGATGGCTGTTTCAGTGAATGCTCGTTCCACCCGTGACGAACAGGTCTGGTTGTTGATGAAATATAGTGATAGCTAAAAAGATTTTTTATTTATGCACAGATTGTCTTTAAATGTAATATCCAGTTATGTATGACTGTTTAATAATCTCATACGAACTTAGACTGGAGTAGGTCCGATAGTTTTTCAAATGTTGTAGTAAACATCGGTACCTTAAATTACCTTCCAGACTATAAGGGTGTGAGGTATTACCGGTATATCGGTAAATTGAGGTTCATTCTTTCCACGATACATATCACAATATCATTTTTTCATGCTCGATATATCAGGTGATTTCAAATTTGGATTGGTGTTTGATGTTATATACTTGCCAAATGCCTTCGCTGCCAAGGAGCGAGGATCCGAGGCCCCAAGATGGCTCCGTATTCATTGAATGAGTAAATATTATGTTGTACCAGCATCTTGTTTTGTTCCATTTATGAACTTCAATTCATACCTCAATGTATCAGATAGCTCCTGAATTAATAATTTAGAATTATACAATATATTGTGATGCACTTTAAACCTCCAATAACCATCCCTATTCAATACTATGATCACAGTAAGCCACAGTTCTTAGATATGTGGGACATGGTTGTCCAGGGTGCCAGTTACACTGACAAGTGACTGTCTGAAATAGGATCACTTGTTCGCAGGACTGACTGTCAATGGATTGCAGATTTCTAAAACCCACACATGCACTTCAAACACGACCAAGAAAGCACCCATCACATATACAAGAGACTGTTAAGCCATCTCACATACATGTTAAGTCTGAGAATAAATAAGCAAAAATATACTTTGGCAAGTCAAGAATGATGAAATGAATCCTGTTTAATGCTGCTGTCAGTAATATTCCAGCCTTTTCACAGTGGCCTATCAATAAGCAAGCCTTGGTCAGAGCAACCAGTGGTTGACATCATGAGCATGTGCCAGAAGGTATGACAACACACACTCAGCCCAAGCACACATCATAACCAACAAAATTCACAAATGATAGAACAGTTTATCAATGATAACATTAGTGCGAAACCTCCATGAGTTCATTCTGCGCCCACAATAAATAGAATACATTCCCAAGAAGCAGCCTGCAGCCACATCAGCAAGTCATCCTGTGATCAACCAGATTGCACCAGATGTTTTCTCCTCTTCATTCGACTGTCCGGTCCAGGGACATGTTTGCTAGTGTTCTCACTCCCTTTCTCACTCTTATCCACACCTTTGTTTGTTGATCTCTCTTTCTCAAATTGCTTGTCTCTTGTTTTTTGTTGTTGTGAGACTGGTAAGTTTAATGAAGTCCTCCGTGTACCTGTGCCAGCACCAGCACCAGCATTTGCGTTTGGGGGAACTAGTCCAGGAATAGGCTGCGGTGCTTTACTCGCGTTCAACAGTTTTGTTCCACGTTGTGCTTCTTGTGCCTCCTCAATCTTCAATGAAGTTCTTGAGATATTGGTATTGTTGGCAGCAGGATTGAGGGTAGAGGGAGTGGTTGCGTTGGCAGGAACGTGAAAAAAGTACAACTGAAATGCAAAGATTTATCATTTACCTCATAAATTGGCACTTAGATGTCAACAAAAAGAACTTTGAAAATTTTCACAAAACCAATTCACCTCTACATACATACTGACTTCTTTATCGTCACTGATCAAGATTTGTAGACTGGTGTTATTATTGACATGTTATGAATAAGCAATTTTTCCTCAGTAATGATGCTGTCAAACCTAAGGTGACAATCGGGAAGAATTGTGGAGTCTTACTAACGGGAGATCCTGGCTCCACTGATGAACACAGAAATGCAGTGCCTTATACAGGCACTTCAAATAAACAAAGTAGAATTACTTGGGACTGCAGTTAATGAAAACTTTATCAGATGTGCACAAAACAGACCCACAACTTGTTAACTGGTCTTGAAGTGACAAGTGTATACGGTGTGACGTACCCTGTGTCCGAGCCTATGTACCCTAAGCCAGCATCACATCATATACCCTGAGGGACCGGTTGACAATGACTTTATTTTACTGGCATAAGTATGATACATTTCACCTGTTTATCTATATGTCTTTATCAGTATGGTTAATGAAATGTTTCATCCAGCAGACTATGTAAACATCCAGTGTTATTGCCCTTGCATTAGTGAGTGAGTTGGGTTTAACGCCGCTTTTAACAGTATTCCAGTTATATCACGGCATGTCAGCTTAATGTGGGAGGTAAGCCCGAAGTGATGCAGGTCTCGGAAGTTTACCAGTTCGGTGAAACCCACGAGCACGGGTATGGAGCTGACAAACCTAGAAACATAATCGGCGCGAACCGGGATTCGAACCCACAATCATAGGTTTCTGGCGTGCCAAAGGGACGCAACTCTGCACAGCAAATTGCGGCGCCTTAGACGACTGGGCCACCTGTGCCCCCCGCCCTTGATTACATGGATAAGCAAGGTTAGTTTTGCTAAACTGCATTTGCTAGGTGTTCAGTGATGAGGTAATATAATCACAGCCTTGTATTCGCATTAGTAAGAAGGTTGTCACTGTCCAGAGGGGTATGTGAAATTTGTACCTATCTGACAGCTTGGTACTTGGGAAAATAATGCCAATTCAGTTACCAATCAGAAATGAGTATCTGAATTCAAGGCAAGATCCCAGTTCTATACACTTCAGGAAAGTCCATTCTACCCATGTACATTTCCCTATGTCATTCTAAGTGAATGAATGATTAATAAGGTGTGCTACTTACGACAAACCCAGCTGCTAGGGCAGCATGAAATATGAGGATCACAGCCATAACCGCAAAGGCAATCTGAAATAGACGAGCAGTTCGAAAATGAAGTTCTGAGAAGTTTGAAAAAGCAGCTTTCAGCAGTTTTCAGATACAAAAAGGTCCATAAAAAACATGAACATTGGGAACAGGAAGAGAGAGAGTTAACCAGAACCTGAAACATTCCAGTAATTACTCAAGTCAATGATGTAGGCGATCAATCTGACAAACCAGTAACCATGGTTACTGAGATGATGGGTTTGATGTTACAGAAATACTACTGCTGTGTGAGGTGAGGTGAGGTGAAATGGGGTTTAACCTCGCATCCAAGATCATTGCACTATAGCATGTGTGTGTGTGTGTGTCTGTGTGTGTGTGTGTTGGTTGTTTAAAACTGCACTCAGGTATAATCCATCTGTATATTCCACCTGTAAATAATCAAGTTTGGGTAGACAATCCAGTTAATGATATTATGAGCAACGATCCACACCATCAACCACCAAACCTGACCACCTAATTCACTAAATAGACTCTAACAATCAGCGTAGCTGGCTAGGGACCGATTCTAAAATGGAATCACCACACGTTCCGTTAAGTAGATCGTCTTTCATGACCAGCAATGGAGTACTGAGGACACATTCTACATTTCCCTTGTGGGACCACAGAAGTAAATAAGGACGCTTTCTTACTCTCTTGTTGTCTTCCCGAACAGCAGGCCAGAACGTGAATACCAGAACACTTCCGGACAGGGCAGCCCCGAGGATGACCAGCGTCCACTGTACCCAGTTGATCTGGATTGTCCATAGAATCTGAAGGAGCAATACGCAAGGTCACTGCGAGTATCTTCAATTCTTTGTCATATTACTCAATGTTACACTGGTACCTTGAGATTATTTTACGAGCATGTGTGTCATACTGATTTTACGAAACGAGTTTCTGAATTATTGTATTTACCAAGTGATAGCGACTGTAATACATGAATTGTTAAACTCGTTTTGTAAAATCATGGAATCAGTATGACACACATGCAAGTGTAATTATTTCTTAGTAATAAGTGTCATTCCCATCTTACGTCACAATAAGATTTGAATGAGGCCAACAATGCCTTCCAGTTGACGTTACCATACACTGGTGCGTGTGACATGATATTTGCACTAGTGCACATATCATTTCAATGAACTCGGCTATTTCTAACCCAATGGTTTAAAAAACAAACATATGCAGCAGTTTGTAATTGATATGCTTGAAAAAAATCAGAAGGCAAAGTTCAAGGTCTTTTCAAGGCATATAATGAGGCATCTATGTCGAAGGCCTTTTCCAGCCTGTGAACATGTGTTATGAACGTAGCCAGAGAGTAGATATAATAAGCCAACATTCTCGAGAGGGTACATTAAACCGTATTCTCCCTGAGATAAGCCCACAACAAATTTATCTTGCCGCCATGTTTATCATTTAGCTCAATTTGAAAACAAACTGTGACTGAACTGTGAAAAGTTTGTAGTCGCCATTTTGCCAGGTGAGCTTCAGACAAAAACTTGTTTATGTATACCTGTAGGCTCTGTGCATCTCACACAATTAAGGTGAAAATAAATGCATCTTACGTGCCACTGTGTCACTGTAAGGAGCTGGTATTCCAGACATTACAGAGTTAGGCAAAATGTCTGTTGCCATGACGATGGGTATCTCTTTTTCAGTTGGAAATTTGTCAAAACATCTCTTACCAATAACATTCTGCAATGGTCAGAAAACTGACCTCTCTCGCCGCCATGTCAGTCATGATACACACTCACCGATATAGGAATGTAGATTGCCAGGGAGTAGCCATAGACACTGATGAGTTCCAGGAATGTGTAGCGAGACTGACTACCGCGCCACCACAAGAGGCCGAACAGGCATGCTGGGATCAGCCACCAGTAGCTAAAGATAGCTGTTGCTGCGAAGGTTACTGCAACACAAAGACTTATCTGAAGTTGCTTGTCAAAATAAAATGACCACAGCATTGTTATGACATATTATTGTTACCATGTTTCAAAAATAATAACAATAACAATATATAAATTATTGTGGGTACTGACACTCTCACCCTCACATGAAGAATCATGTCAGACAATAGATCCCACCACCCTCGCTCTTCCCTCAATTGCTTGTATTTACCAATCATTATTGGAGGGCGTGGTTTCATTAACGTGGAGGCTCTTCATGAAAGAATTGTATTGTGCACTTTTGCACACATTCATTTGTCTGATGATCCTCTTGTGAAGCATGTCAAGACTCATGATGAAAACAAGGCATTCCACAGTTCTCTTAAACGAGCCAAGTATGTGGGACATAATCTCAATGTCAGTGTTGATTTTAATGATGGTTCTGTACTGCTTGACACTGCTGGGTGGGTTTGACTCGGCAGCACTTCCTGGGAGAAGTCCCATTCGCTGTCTGGGCTGCGTGTGAGTTGATGATGAGCCTAACCAGCCTGACTGTCCCAGGATCACCCAAACCCTCTTAATAATAAGAAGAAGAAGAAGAAGAATTACGTGGATTACAGTTTTGTTTCCTAAACCACTGAATCATTGTTGCCAGTTGAGTTACATTAAACATATGAAACTTAAGACACATGCTGCTCACAATGACTCATGCGGAGTTCCTTGAACATGGGGAGTTACTTCCCTTCCCATATTAATCTAAACATGACCTTTTAGTATTGAAATTTGTTAACACACTCAGCAAAAGTTCTGAAAAGTTAAATCTGATTCCATGTTTGCTGAGGTTCCGGCTTGGCGGATCAGTAAACAAATAAAAGATGAAGCTTACAGTATTCGCCATAATAAGCAAACTGACAAAGAGGGGTGTTTATAAAAACATACACAACCACTTACATTTCTTGTCAGAGATCTAGCAAGAGTGGGGGAACAGGTGGCCCAATTGTCTAAGGCTCTGTAATTCAATGTGCAGAGTTGTGTCCCTTAGGAACGCCAGAAGCTTATGATCGTGGGTTCGAATCAGAAGTTTGTCAGCACCATACCCGTGCTCATGGGTGTCACAAAAGGGGTAAATGTCTGAGACCTGCATCACTTTGGGCTTTCCTCCCATGTTAAGCTGACATGCTGTGATGCAACTGGAGTACTGTGGCATTAACCCAACTCACTCTAGCGGTAGTGGAAAAACTTTAGCTCAAACGTCAATAAAACCAACCATTTTTCATATTACATGTAGTTCCAAAACATTTACATACCCCTTCTACACTGCTGTTTTCTGTAATATACACACAAAAATATAGACTATCAAGTAATTTCTCAATCTTATACAGGGACACATAAGAAGACTGGTCCAGAAGTTGGTCAGGGAGCACTTATTGGGACAGGATGCTTAAACTGGCAAGTACATAATTTAACCATGACATCTTCAACAAGGTTGAATATGGAGGAAGTCACCAAAGGCAGATGGCTCAACTGAAACTGAAATTACACTGAGTCCATTTCTACATGTTCTAGATATTACTTGATACATAATAAGGGTAACCCACCTTTATGAAAGTCATACTTCCATGTATAGCCTTTGCCAGCAGCTTGAAAATAGTTGGCCAGGTTGCCTGCGATGGCTGTGGTGAAAACCAGTGTAGTGCAGATCCAGAATGGGCCTGCAATCATTGGGAGGAAAACATGGTCATCATCATCATCATCTGAAATCATCTGAAATTATCATCATCTGAAATCATATTAAACACTCCCACGATTCTTAAAGTTTTGCAATAAATTGAACTATTCACTATCACTTACCTTTGTTTAACTGTCATAGTATGCTCAAATATGTTTCATATGAAATTGTTTTTAAATATTACTTTGCATAAATTACTCGATTGTGAACAAATTAACTTGGTCTAGTTGCTATATGGCTGAAATAATGCCGATGCGACGTTAAATTTTAACTCACTCACTCACACATTGTTTAACTGGTTTGACTAATGTGTCAATCAAAATATCTGTCACCATGGTCACATGTTGAGCCACACCACCTGTAAACTTTCCTTCTGTGGTAATGTGCTTGAACAAAGTTTCTAGCTTCTAAAAGCAATTCATCCAAACACATCTCAGCATCACCATGGTCACCACCCAAACAAATGGGTCACATACTGTAATCCTGTGCATGGCAACTTACATGACGTGATCACATGACTACCCCTGCCACATGATTCTCTGTCTTAGAGCCAACAGCGTCTCCAGTCAATCAATTCTTCGGGATTGGGTGTTGGCTATGACATTATTGAACCTCAAAATATGCCTTGCTCAGATGTGAATCTTCAGGGAGTTGATCAGCTGGAAGAAGTCAATCGACAGCGACAGAAGCCCATCTTGGTCATATACTGATAGATTGTCTGACTGGATCATAAGGTCTGATGCACGAAGGAGCTCTTCCCAGTGGGACAACGCCAGAATGCCTTGAAACTGAGGTTGTTGTTGAGGTCACTTTTCTTCTTAGACAGACCAGCACCCTGCCATCTGCGATTCCTGGTGCTCCCCCGCCAACAGTCGATACGTCAGTAAATAGGTGTTGGGTTGGAATGAACGGCCGCAAAGAGGCTCTGGTGCAAACTTCACCAGCCACCACTGAAGATGCGGATTCAGTGAGATCGGTAGGGAGATCAGGACCTGGCAATGGTCTCTCTGGAAGTAGGGCTTCAGGAAGCACTAGATGGGTTGAAGTTAAAGCTGACCTCTCTGGAGTAGCTACTGAATGAGTAGCTGTTGTCATTGAGTGGGAGTCATCTCGGACTTGCCAATGTTGATGAGCCACCCTAGCTGATGAAAAAGCTGTTGTGTAAACTTGAGATGGCGTAGAAGTACGTCTGGATCTTTGTGGGCCTGAATGCAATAGAGGGGACTGCCAGCTTGGTGAGTCTCTTAGGTCTCTTCGCGGAGGATGGCCCATGTTCCACGTCTTTGGACTACGACTACCTGTCATCTTGCTTGTGACACTTACGCAGGTAAAGGAAAAGGTCAAGGATATATCTGTGAAATGGGAACACTGACAACATTGTTGATCCTGACTGCATCAGCCGTGTCAATCAAAATTTAGATCATGAGGATCAGAAGTTGACTAAATTTTGAGACATGCTGGGCAATTTTCATGTTCACTACCCATCTTCCCTCAGGTAACTAATGTTAAGTTCATATGATACTGGAGGAAAATCTGTTAAAAAAACTAAAGCTGTATTCTCTGAGAACTCAGTACACGTCTCCACAGTGTTGCGATGAGAAAGAGAATGATGTGGCAGGGGAAGTCATGTGATCATATCGTGTAGCTTGCTATGCACAGGACTACAGTGTGTGACCCATTTGTTTGGGTGGTGACCATGGTGATGCTGGGATGAGTTCAGGTGAATTGTTTTAAGCAAGTTGGAAACTTTGTTCAAGCACGTTTCGAAAGAAGGATCAAAAGAAGAAGGAAGAAATGCATAGAGTGAGAAAGAATAAGTTCAAAAATTTGGCTGTGGTTAATTGTGGTTTCTCTGACCTGTGACAAATTTGAAATGTTACAGATGCTGTTACCATGGTTTTATGTAATTCCAGCATTCCAATTGTCAACTCTGGAGGTCAACATAGAGCAAAATATGATACAGTCCTTAGACCAATCTCCCCAGACCCATTCCCCCCTCCTATAATAGATGACCAGTCCCTTACAATAACTTCTTGTGACTTTCATACCATTTATTCTCACATATCTCCAAATGGAGAAAGAATATTTAACCCCTGGTTGCAGAACATGAGTAATGTGTATTGGTTTACTGTGATCAACAGCAGTGCACTCACCATATAGATCCGGCTTTGGTCGTATCTGCGTTGTGAGGAAGTTGCGGCCTGGCCGCGGGGTCATTGACCCAAGCACTCTGTACAAGACTTGATGTGTGTCTACATCAAAGAACTGCTGGTAGTAGTCAAACGTCCAGAATGATGGTGGCTTCTTCTCATCTTTCAACAGCTGAGGATCAACAAAACAGAAGTCAAGTTGTAATATTTACAACAAAGTTTGATGACATGAAGATCAAACATGTCAATAGTGTCAATAGTTTTTTAAGATGAAGGACAATGGTCCTCAGAAAATCCGCGGGACTTGCTCGTGTTTAAACACAGTATGAGAAAAAGGCTCACTATAAATCTTGAAAATCAACATTTTATACACATTTTAGCCTTACTTCTTCAATACTTTCAAGTGACAACAGGGACGAAGTCAAAATATTGTTAATATAAACATATCTGATGACTTTCACAAGGTTTTCTGTAGGTTATCCTTATAAATTTATCCATATCCTGAGGCAAAACGGTCCTTATCAATATCATTCCCATGTTTGAATTCTCCCTGTTAAAAGTGAGTGAGTGAGTAAGTGAGTGAGTGAGTGAGTGAGTGAGTGAGTGAGTGAGTGAGTGAGTGAGTGAGTGAGTGAGTGAGTGAGTGAGTGAGTGAGTGAGTGAGTGAGTGAGTGTTCTTTTACACCACAGATAGCTACACTATGAACTTCAGAAAGTTGTCGGTAAACATGGTAGATATTCAAGGCTGGCCAAAACAAAACAGTTGTTGATAGAGTATGAGTGTGTGAGTTTGGTTTAACACTGCTTTTAACATTATTCCAGTTATATCACAGCGTGGCAGCTTAATGTGGGAGGAAAGCCCGAAGTGATGCAGGTTTCGGACGTTTACCACTTGGGTGAAAACCACGAGCACGGGTATGGTGCTGACAAACCTAGAAACAGAATCGGGGCGAACAGGGATTCGAACCCACAATCATAGGTTTCTGGCGTGTCCAAGGGACGCAACTCTGCACAGCGAATTGCGGCGCCTTAGATGACTGGGCCACCCGTGCCCCCTGTTGTTGATAGAATGACCAATCATCAAACCACATTCATTGGGGCAGTACACAAGACACTGAATTCAAACACAGAATAAAGGATGCAATAATTCCTGACATCATGTCCAAAGATGTAAAAGAAATATTTTCAAAAATCTCTTTTTTTCTGGAATATTGTCCTTTACAGCAACTAAACATGGACACACTCTTAATACCAACCAGCAAATACAAAAGCTGTTTACATAAATATCAAACTTAATTCTTCTGAACTTATAGCAATATGTACCATACACTGTACTGTACCATGCTATCAATGGAAGGACAGACAGACCATCTCCATTGTCATCATTGCCATCAACAGCTGGACAATTTTATGTATAGGGAACAGAAGCAATGGAGCATTTGATGCAGGATGAATATAGGCATGAACTGCTTGTACTCATGACTGTTTCCATGGTAAATTTTAGAACAATGCTTCAGCCTACCTCTGATTTATCCCCAGCATCATCGTCGGAGTCGGCTGTGTGGGGAAAGTTGGTGAAGGTGTGAGTCTGTATCTTCCCTTTGTCTTCCGTGTGGGGAATATCTGCAACAAGAATATTCAATACAATCATACAAATAGAGGGTAAGTAAGTGAAACAAGTAGTAGACATTACCACAATGTTGAAACAGACGATCAGCAGATTCTGGTAGCTAAGTGATACAACACAACTTCATAACGGCATCTGTGATCCCCTCAATCAATAAATGAATAATAAAACAAATGCCACAAGCCTAGGAACCCTTGCCTCTAGTTTCTCTCACTGCTTCTGAAACTGGAAATTACAGGATGTGACCAGGTTTTCACCAAAAAAGAGAAAAACTTCTGGGGGGTTTGGGGGCATGATTTTGTGCAGTTTGAACAACATTCACACCAAGAAATGTAATAAGTCAATGGCATAAGTCAATAAGTCAAATAAACAAAGATGGTGGATGCAGTAAAATTTCGAAGTTAAATCAGTACATTTAAAACATCGGGCATAGCTTCCGCGCACCAGGCTACCGACCGGGTCTGAGAGCGAGTATTGCCATAAACCTCACCGCCACCCCCACCACCCCCTCCCCACCCCCAGACACAAGGACAACTGTCACAAGAGTGCAATGTCTGACCCCTTATTTAATTCACCTGGTGTTGGCATTCCATATTTGCTGGAGACAAATGGCTGTAGAATATCGAAACGTCTCCGGTCAAAACTCTATCTGCCGTGAAATATTCGTTGCAATAAATCAATCAGGTTTGTTGGCTCCGTTTATTGTGGCTGTGGCTTCACTAATCATCTATCCTTTGGGGTTAGCATGGTTTAGTGAATTGTGGTAATGTAGGTTACCCCGACCTCTATCCTTAGCCCTTGGATCCCTTTTACAATCAATCGCACCTTTACGAACATTAGGGTAATGTACCCTTTTAACTGTTTAGTGGCTATTAGATTCTATAGGATACTATGAGCCACATTATCATGATTATCATTAGTGTTCCCTCCCACATTTTTCCTGTTACAAAAATCACACAATGAATTAATAAATACCATGTCATTCATCAAAATCACTTAAAGTGTGAATGTGTGTGAGATATTATTTACCTTGAAACTGTAACCCATCACTCGACTTGTTCTGATCCTGAAAGTATGAAATAACAGCTTTTGGTGAATATTTTTATGATCGAAAACCGAACAATAACAAAGGACATCTCGAAAATAAAGCTCTTATTCATAATGCAGTTAAAGACAATAACACAAAACCTAGTCGAAGACAGTGTGAAATTGTTTATCAAATTAATGGATAACAAGGAGATCAATCGTAACTGGTAGGCATGCTTTACATTGAATGTGTCGTCTTCCACGTCGATCGCAAAGGACGCCATTTTGTGGAATGATAGTATAGAAGCAAATAGATAATTACGTTTTTGCACGAAAAGAAATAAAAATATATTTTCCTCTATGGTTCCATAATTTCCTTTCATCTATAGTTGAAAAATCGGAATTGGAATATATCGTTTGAAATCGCTAACATTTTATTATCGTGAGTGCTGTGCTCCTTGCGGAGTTGTCGCTGAAGTCAGACTGGGCTTCGTCTCTTCGTATTAAACGTTGACTTCGCAGAATCAGACAGAGTCGGAACCATTTTATACAAGTGATGCATCAGAGCGCGATAGGTTTTTGCTGCAGTATGACATGTTAAACTGACATGGCGTCTGCTTTCAAGAACCATGCTGCTCGCATGGCAGGAGGGGTCAAACACCTCAAACCTTCATTTCCAGAAAAATTGAAAGGCGGAAGAATAGAAAAGATTGGTAAAACATATTAATAGTCTTGAAATAGGTCGAATGATTAACCGTATTGTTATTTTACTTATCAAGTTACATCATTTAGCACTTTGGAACCAACTGCTAGAGTCATCCCAATGTATGTACATGTATTATTTGACCCGTGAAGATCCGGGGTAGAATAGGTCTTCGGCAACCCACGCTTGCCGTAAAAGGCGACTAACAGGATCGGGTGGTCAGGCTCGCTGATTTGGTTGATGCATGTGCAGCTGGGCGTGGAGTCGTCCCACAGATGACATCCTTACCTTGTCATCTTGCTGAAAGGGTTAACCTTCGGTCATGTGGACAAGGCGTCCGATCAGAAGGTCCGTGGCTCGGATCCCATCAAGGGACTCGGAAATTTTATGGCCTCTACACGTCTTATACCAATTGCGTGGATAGATGCTCATGATATCAGCCACTGTATTCTCTGGTCAAGACTAAATTTTTTACAGACCGCCGTCATGTAGCTGGAATATTGTTGAGTGTGACGTTAAACAACAAACACAACAAACAAAACATGTCTTAATTAATTATGCATCTTCGGTGAACACAACCTAATTATCAGGTGATTCTACAGAAAATGGCAAAATGTTGTCACTGACTAAAATCTGTTATTCTCTTGTTTCTTTATGAAAACAATTTTCACAATTCACATCTGTGTGTCAACACTATCAACAGAATATTTTCAGAAGAGAAACTGATACTTTCAGTTTAGTCAGTGTTCCCTCTGGCTTTAGAAACTGCCAGTCCTCGTGGACTGGCTACTCTAAAAATTACCAGTCCTCCCTAATTATTGCCACCAGTCCCAACTTTCATCAAATGAAAATATGTTTGAAAATTATTTGTTTTTAATTCTTTCAACATCATGTTCAGTGCAAAGATGTCATCTCTGAAGTAAATTAGTTAGATCTTTACGTCATTCACACAAACTTCAGTCACAAATTTCTCTTAATATTTCGAGACGAAGTCGCTACAAATGGATCTTTAAGCTAGAAATAGACAAGGGGAAACCCTGATGGTAACAGACAAGCTGACTTTGTTCGAAAAAGGGACTCATATGAATAGCACCAATGTTTTGTTCAACAACAAAGATTTATAAGGTACTTTATTTGCCGGTCCACAGGGACTGGTAGTCACATGAATTACCAGTCGAAGTCTAATTTTACTGGTAAAAAAATGGTAATTACCGGTAAACGGGAACGCCGGTTTAGTTATGTCATTTTTAATCATATTTTGTCTGCTTTCTCAGACAATAAAAGGCTGTTTACTTTGCAATGGGCCCTATTGTATCCAGTCAAATAGAACACATACCTGCACTCATTCTTTTGTTGAATGGACTGTCTATTTCAAGAGATTTTTTATATTTCTTCAGTGTTATATAGTATTTTGTAGTGACCGTAGCCCATGGGATGTTTATGATGAGTTTGAGACAAAACCAGGTGAAATTATGAAAAACCAATATCAGGCATTAAAGTGCTAATATAGACCTTTAATTTAATTGTGACCAGGCTGTAAATATAGTCTGCGACTGCTCCTTTTGTAGCAAGCACCAGTTTATGAAAGCATTTATTATTTATTTAGTATAAAGTGGTTTAATCAGGGCCAGAGGGACTGGCAGTGTACATGGTGTGCATGTCTCCTCTGTTGTAGGCCCATAGTTCAACCTATTTTCAAGGTATGCATGTTTCTTCTAACTAACAATGCATGTTGTATGTTCAATGCAATATTTTGTTGTAATGTAATACTGAGTTTGACATGAGTATGCAAAACAAATTGATATTTGGATAAGATGTAAACTTATTTGGAATATAGTTGTTTCTTAATTGATGATAGTTTACACACAAGCATGAAATGATACTCAATTTCTACAACATTAAGGTTACAAGATGTACAGGTATTGTTAGACTAAAATACACCTTTATAGATCTTTAAATCATAATTACCTGCTCTGAATTGGGCTAGCGAGACTCGAAGTTTTTTATTGTAACAGATATTAGATATTCTTCGAGCATAAATTGTTGTTTGAAGAGGAAATAGGTATATGTACATTTGCTATTTCTTAGTTTTTCTATCAACATTTGCTGAAAACAATCTTTAGCTCTTTGGAGTAATAATGACATAAAAATCTTGACATTACCAACACCCTGATCCATCCATGTCTCCTCTGTTAATGTCATTACTTGCTGCCGTAATCAGCAAGAAATGGTCAACACAGCTGTGTTACCGTATTTGACGTAATAAGTGTCTAGGGCGCTCTCAAAATTAGAAATAGGTGGCTCTTATTAGAATACTATTTTGGTGAAAAGAATTTGAAAGATAGTAAATTTAGTGGTTTATGCTGACAGCCTGAAATGTTTCTATACGACATATATGTTTTTTCCAGAATTTTATTGCCCATAATTAAGGGTGCATATAACACACGTGTGTACTATACACAAATAAATAAGTCCTGTGTACATTGACCAGTCGGAAGGGGTGCTATTTGGGTTTGTTCACTAGCCAATATATTAGCAAATATCGCCGTGGGCGCTGATTACAGCGGGGCGTTTATTACGTCAATACAGTATTACAAGTACAAGTAGCTTTGTAATATTATTTTCACTTATAAGTAAACTGACTGTTGCTGTTACAGGTGACTACTTCAACATGATCTTTCAAGATTACAAAACAGTAGTCGTTGAGACTATCCAGGACATTAAGAAGCAGCCAGTGAAATCCTCATTTTACATTTCAACACTCACTGGACTAGGATGGTTGTACAAGACTAACCCCTCAGAAACAAGTTTCCGAACACAGCTCATTCACAGCTCTCAAGATCTTCTTCTTATTGGTGAACCAATTCGAAACCCAACCTCTGATAAGCATATCCAGGATCTCAGTCTAACATTGAAGGATGGTAAACTGAGGTTTCTTAGTTTAGGAATTCTAACACTGGTCTGGAGGACACAGCACAGCCACTGGACTGGACTGTATGACGCCCAGTGTAAACAGTTGAAGCCACAGTGGTCAGAGTTTCATAAACACATTGTTGATGTGGGCATGCTTGGCAGGTGGATATATCTGGACAAAACTATGATTGACTATGACATTAACACTGAAGAGTGGGATGAGGATGGAAAGAGTAAGCTTGTATGAATATTATGAGTGAGTGTGTGCATTGATTGTTGCAACCATAAGATTGATATGTTTTGTGGAAATATTTCATAAAATTCACAGTGTTTGATGTATGATTTGTGGAGGTATGATAGTAATGATTAAATCATTCTAATTATTGGCATCAGCAACTAGAAACATTTTTAGCAGTACTTGTAATCTTTTGTGAAGATTCATTCTCACGAACAAAATGCAATCAGGCTGGCTACTAGCTAATCTGAAGCCCATGTCTGGTAAGATTTTGTTTCGTCTGGTAAAGACAGCTGATACTAGTCCATAATCTTTACATAATGGAGTCCAGGATTTTATTTTACCAGACGTGGAGGTACTGCACATGGAATGTATTATTATGAATATGCTTTTGTAGTAAATTGATATTTTTTGGTATGTATTATTTACGGTATTAAACAAGAAAGAAAATATATTTATCTCTTCTTTTTATTACACTGATCTCTGAAAATAAAAATAAAATCACTGTGGTGGTTAGTGAGTGAGTTGCGGTTTAATGACGCCTTGAACAGTATTCCAGTTATATCACGGTGTGTCAGCTTCATGTGGGAGGAAAGCCTGAGGGGATGCAGGTCTCAGATGTTTAACACTTTGGTGAAACCCACGTGTACCGTGTTGTGCTGAGAAACCTAGAAACATTCTCGGACGATCTGGCATGCCCAAGGGACACAACTCAGCTCAGGGAATTGTGACGCCTTACACAACTGGGCCACCCATGACCCCACTCTGGTAGCAATTAAGCAGTCCCTTGTAAATGGAGATGCGTTAACGTTTTTGCTGAATTTGACAGCCACTGCTGTCATACTTTGTTTAAAAAAAATGGTACTTGGACATCCAAGGAATATCATCATATCATGATGTATATCATGTTATATCTCCTTTATAGCCATCTTAAGCTATTTGACACAATGATACGTCATGCCAAAGTCCTATCCTAAAAAATAGTTTGTTTCCTAATTTTACTGTCGGACTCCAGAAGGAAAGGTTGTGGGTGACCACGAGGTCTTATGCTAAAAAAATGTTCACATTAACTCGCGAAGCATTCACTGTAGTAAGATGAACTTTGGTTTGTCATCCTAAGGGTGGAACATTTAAGTGGGAAGGTTTTTACCTTTTAGGAAGGTCAAGGTCACTGGAATGGTCATTCTTACTGTGGTTATAAATTGTGTACTGAACCAAATCGGGCGTATATGGGACATGTACCCATGTTTGGCTGGAGTGAGGGTCAAGGTGATTGATATGGAAGTGTGTATGATGTGTTAACCTTGTTAGGGACAGCTAGCTTTCTGTTTTAAAGTCACACTGCATTGGACATGTATTTCCCCCAACTTGAAGGGATATTATTCCACTAGAAGTATGTATTACTTTCTTATCATGTAGATGGAGGCATGTAGCTTTTGGTTTTAAAGTTGTCTTGCATCAGACATGTGTTTAATAATACCGAATGGATCACAACCTTAATAGCCATGTATTAAAAGTGTGTTAATTGGAGTACTGTTGGTAGTAGTCCAGAAGAACCTATAGAAAGCAGGGAAAGAGGCACATACTGAGTCTACAGTATTTAGTTATTCCAGTTTCATCCTTCATTGGAGAATTGTGATAAGGATTTAACTTTTGAGGATTATGCAACTTTAAAATGCAGAAATAACTAAGTGCTGAGATACTACAGTATACTATTACTGCAGATTTCTGGAATATGGTAGATTTCCAAACAATGTTTCTGTTAATTGTTTATACCTCAAATGTGTCAACACTATTCAATAGCGCAGGTATCTGCTAATCAGGACTATATTACTTGTGACTTTATGACTCCGTTTATTCCCACATCCCGATTTATCTTTCATATCACTTATTTTGTATCGATATATTGCGTGTCGTGGGTCGTTTTCACCCAAGGAATCGTGCATTGCAAACGACTAACAGCACCCGAATACGCCAAGAAGTGTGCGAAGCGAACGTAATATGATGTCTGAAAGCGTCACCGGACCAACACATGTATTCAAGCTATTTTGTTGGCCTCTGGCCGTTTACGCTGAATGCGTCCAGTCACGAAAATGAGGATGTCACAAATTTACCGTTTAAGTATTATTACCCAAGGAAAAATTACCACATTCATACATGAACACACAATGGTCAAATGTAACAAATTTTATATTTGGGATAACACTCTCTTGGTAAAGTACAGTATTTTGTCAAAAGGGGCGATTAACGGGATCGGGTGGTCAGGCTCGCTCACTTTGATGATGCATGTCATCTTATCCCAATTGCATATAGCGTTGCTCATGATGTCAATAATTGGATTGCCTGGTCCAGACTCGATTATTTACTCATACAACTAGAATATTGCTGAGTGCGGCCTAAACAACAAACACACAATCTTGTTAAAACCAACTAACAGGATCTGATGAATAGGTTTTGAGGTATGGCTCACTGTGCGTCATAATACCCCGATGGCGCATTAATTTGTTGATATGTCTCGATTACGCCGTGATAAAGCTTCAACTATGATTACTGGTGCGTAAACATTCTCTGGCTTACTTGGTAGCCTCGTGTAGTTGACTTTGATAAGAGGTGAATTGTACTGCTCTAAATGGTGAATTTAATTCTAGAAACAGAACTTACCAACACTTCTTTTCTCTCAATAAGGATTCAAGTGAAATCGCGCGGAGAAACGAAACTCAGAAAGTAGTCCAGTCCTTTTAATTATATGTAAACGTTTCCAAAAGAAATCGTCCGTTAGCGTAAGGGGGATATATCGAACTACTCAAAACTAGTTACAGAATACCCACACTTGGTTGGCTGTGTGTTGCAATACCCACCAGTCATGCCAGATTAATTATAGTCATATTAAAAAATGGGCGTTCTTCAACTTCTTTGAGTAGGATGTGTGACATGTAACATAACAGTGATCGTTGAATACAATTCGGGAGATTTTATGTATACACGTGAAGATTGTCGTGATCGTGGACACAGAGGCTTTTAATGCAAGAATAACAGCTACAACATGTATGGTCACCACTGTCTGTTGTGTATGCTGTACTATTTTCGTCACAAGCTTTGTGTTCACGATCAGGGCGATCATCACGTTTATACATAAAAACTTTTATACAGTTTGTTTGTTGTTTAACGCCGCACTCAGCAATATTCCAGCTATATGGCGGCGGTCTCTAAATAATCGAGTCTGGACCAGGCAATCCAGTGATTGACATCATGGGCATCGATCCGCCCAATTGGGACCGATGACATGCATCAATCAAGTCAGCGAGCATGACCACCAAATCCCGTTGGTCGCATTTTACGACAAGCATAGTCGCCTTTTAGGGCAAGCATGGGTTGGCGAAGACTGGATCAGACAATCAAGTGATTGAAATCATGAGCATCGATCTACGCAATTGGGATACGATGTCATGCATCAACCAAGTCAGCATGTATGTATCTGCAGATTACTTAACAACGATCAGCTGTTATTGAAAATCCCCGCGTATAGTAGCAATGTATTATTTCCATAAAACAGATCTGTGAAATGAATCTTCTCCTTGGTGTTGATGGTAACAGGCATACTGTGACTGCTCAAAGGTGGTATCACATGCTGAGTGACTTGGCTGGGTTAAGAACATTTTTGTTTTATCATGGAAGAAATATCTGTGGTGCCCAGGTCGGAGACATAAAGCACCTGTTTGATGCTAACGAACTCAGGTTCATATTCGGGGCGAATCTGATATTCGAACCCACGACAAGCGGATCCTGACACGTCCGAAGGAACACAACACTGTATGGTGAATTGCGGCGCCCGTGCATGTTGCGAGATATCATATTGACACACAACCACCTGTCACGAGAAGGTTCACAGTATGTGAGTTAATCATTATACATGCTGGTCCGACCGCCTCCGTGGTCTAGTGGTAGAGAGTCCGCCCGGAGAGCGGAAGGTCCGGGGTTCGATTGCCGGCCGCGTCATACCAAAAGACGTTAAAACATGGTACTTGTTGTTACCCCGTCTGAAGCTCTGCATTAAGGGGCTAAAACAAGGTCTGGTCGGCTCGGAGTCAGTATACTGTGTCTGAGTGGGGTATTCATGTTAAACTGCGGCATGGTATCTCAGTGAGCTGGCACTATAAATTGGCCTTTAGTCCGGACTAGTACAAGCAGACACACACACACACACACACACACACACACACACACGTGCATGCACGTCGCTATATATGTGCAATAATTTTGGACGCGACATTAAACCCAATTTCACCTAACCTCACCATGCTGGTCCCTGCAATGATATAAGAAACGACTAACGCGTGGATCCGTTGGCCACAATGGAAGGTCCGTGTGGATAGAACTGTGCCCTGAAATCTATCATCTATGGGCGTGCCAAAGAAAACTAGCGGAGAGCTCACAAACTATGGAATACTAGTATGTACACACTTTAAATAAAAATAGCCACACATATACAAACGAAGACACAATCCCCATAAAGTTTGCATCGAAATTATAAGAACTCTGCACAATTTGCGTGACTTACTGTGGTTGGTTCCATTAAAAGTGTGTCGTGTTCGTAACACATCTTAACAAACTTTATAGGGAGTGTGTCTTTGTTGGTAATTTGTGGAGCTGTTTCTATTTAAAGTGTACATGTTATTCCAATAGCTCAAAGCACGGATACGTCTTCTTTGTAAAAGACGGATTCTGTGGTCACAAGTTAACAAAAGTCAAGTATTAAGGCAAGCAACCCTCGAAGCAATTTGCCTTATATGACATCGTGAGTCAGTGTAGTGTTGCAAAACGTTCACACACCCGATACCCTATCACGAAAAAAAGTTATATCAAATGTTTTGTATTTTTAATCTTCTAAGAGAACGTTTGGGGGTGGGGAGGGGGATGGGGGTGCACATCTACAAGCACCCAAATCTGGATCCGCTTTTTCTCAATGACGCATCGTTTACTCCGACGACATTGATTAATGCTTACTCCATCAACCACTCGTTTACTTTCCCAGTGTGATGGATTTGCCGACAACGTGATACAGCTGTAAAACTGCTGACTGGGATATGAAACACCCCAAGACACTTTCCCGAAATAAGCAGGTCCTTATCAGAGGCAGGAATGTTGTTTCATTAAAAGATGAGAAACTTTATTCCCGCCTGCTGATTTCAATACCAAGATGCACAGAGCGATCTCCGAAGCAAGACGTCGTAACCACGACTTTGTTTGATGAACAGGATGAGCGCCAAGTTCGGGAACAGACCCATGGCGGAGATAAACATGTTTCCGAGTGCAGTACCTCGCGCGAGGATTCATGAAGACAGGTGTGTTTGTAAATTGCCTTTAGCCTTGAGCATAACGGTTACATAACGACATAGAATCGTGTGTGTTCTGACAAACACGCTGCCGAGTGGCGGATAATGTCAAACACCG